TGAGGAAATACCGTAAATCAAAAAAAAGGTTTACTGTTATTTAGTTTGGTTCAAAACCTACAAAATCTTCACTGCTTTCACTGTCATTTATTTTTTATTATTTAGGGAGCATTATAAATAGTTATGTTTTTTTTAAAAAACTACTATTGTTATAAATAACACATTCAATTGAACTAAACTATGCATGCCTATTTAAATATTTTTACATATGGTTTGTGTATATCGTATATATATATACATATATATTATTCATACCTTCGGTGTCTAGGACTCAAGCAGATTTTGACATCAAATTTTTGGGTAAAAAAGTGCGTCTTATACACCAAAAAATACGGTATCTACTCAAGCTTGGTTGAAATAGGTCAAGCTTCAAATTCTACCAAACACTTGGATATTTTCCCACGTCTTGCATCATTATGAAATTTTATGTTCAATAATTAAATTAGGATCCAGTTTGTGTAATAGCATTTGATATGACTGAAATATGTGCTCGCCATGAGATGTGACTGTCAAAAGATTTTGTTAGCATAAGAAAAGGAAAAGTTTTTTCTAGAACCCAACTTGTGATGAACCTGGTGAATTTTATTAATTCAGACTTTCTTCTCTGGAAAACTTAGTTACAAACATAGGACAATATGAATATGGATTAAAATCATAACACGAGTGTAAAATACAATCTTTTTGATCAATAGCCTTGATTTCTAAATTCAGTTTTTGATTGAATTTATGCCCATTTAAATTTTATATCGGAACTTTTTAATAGCATTTTTTAAGAGATCTTTCTACTGATTTCATTTTAAATTTGGGAAAGTAAGCATTCTTATTCACCATAACTCAAGTGCCTTTGCTTCTATTTTTTCATGCCAAGGAAAAAGGGTAAAGTCTGATTAAGTGTATGAGTGCCAAATATGGCTGATGTTGCTAGGACCATTATCATGGTTCAGTGAGAGATTTTTTTTTTTATGATTTCTGTAGTTTCTAAACAATCTCTTTCATTTTTAGTTTTGGGTTGGTGTTGGAGAAGAATTTCATTCCAAAGTATTTTGTAACCTGTTTCAAATTGATGATATGTTAAAGCAGATATCTTTAATTCACCTGTATGCATGTGACCTTGATGTTGTGTCTTATTTCTAAGGAATGTGACATTTGTCCAATGTATTTAATTTCACAATCGATACTGTATTTGCCTTTTGTTCCTATATTGGGGATTCTTTCAGGTTAGGTTAACAGTTAACATGTTTTATGTTGTTGATAGGTGAAAGGTTAAGAGTTAACATGTTTTATGTTGTTGATAGATGAAAGGTTAGGAGTTAACATGTTTTATGTTGTTGATAGGTGAAAGGTTAGGAGTTAACATGTTTTAT